GAAGACACTTGCCGGCATCTGTTTTTGATATTGGTAGCTGCTTGTAATACGCTGGCAGCCTTTTTGAAATTTGTCTTCCATTTAAACTGGTTGTGGACGTTGCTTTTGCAAATTTAGGACAAGAGGATCCTCTACTGTGACTTTGTTATTCCCTATTGGGTACTGCTCACTGTAAATTGATTAAAGTACTCAGTAGGTCACAAACCTCTCTTACATCAGTAAGAACTTTAGGTACAACTGTAAAATTTTGATCTAGATTTAGCTTCAAAATAGTACGTAGTTCGTGTGGATTGTGACGTCTAGTCAAAATCAGGATGCTGAGTAAATTAACTGCTGCACATCCAGCTCTCTGCCGTAGTGAGCTATTCACTAAAGGTTTATTTTAAAACTTTAAAACTTCTGCTGTATGGGTCACTGTACCTAGCTGAGAATGGTTTGGGAAATTACTGTTTCCAGGAGGAGGAAACATAACTGCTTTGAATAACATTCAGATGTGAATTATGCATAGCTTATGGCTAGAAAACGGTTGCAATTCTCTAAAACTTGCTCAGGTTTTTCCGACCGTGTGCAAGTAGTTGTCCAAACACACCGTAAGATGAATTTACATCATGTTGTTTATGCAGTGTAATTTTACGTTCTTGCACGTATTTAGTTTTCATTAAAAAGGGCAACTTGGAGAGTATTCATTAAAGGCAGAAACACTACGTCATTGTACTATGATTAAAGATGTATGACAAATCGCTTCATGGTGTTTTGAGTCTTTAATACTATAGTAGAGGAGAGACTGACTTAAAAAAGCAGGCACGGAGCTTTAGTTGTGTGATGTTTCTGGTCTTGACCCCTTTCTTTATCAAATGTTAAAGTAGTGTTTGGATTCATAAAAAACTGTGGAGATGGATCACTTATGTCAGTTAAATAGTGAACCTTACCCAGATTACTTTATTCCCCATAAATTGACATAGTGAACCTTACCCAGATTACTTTATTTCCCGTAAGTTGACATCATATGTGCACAACATCTGTACACAGGCGGCTTAATCTCGGTTGTGATGGAACTCGGAAGTCTGGCTACCTTGTCGAGTCCTTCTGTATAGGTTCAAAATTGCCTAATCATACATTGCTCCTGTTGTAACACTGTTCCAAAATCAACTGATAGAAAGTAAGGTTTGGGGGTTTTTTTGTTATGTCCCTGCCTGAATTTACTAATATTTATGAAAGCATAATTACTATTTGCCCCAGTAGTAGCAGAGAACACCTACACAATCTTCTTGTCTTAATCTAGATCACCAAGAAAGTAGCAGTGCTTTCTAGATCAAGTGAGCATAAAGAAAATCAAGTAAGAATGTTTTAGCCGGCAGGAGGAACAGTTATCTGAAGTGAAGGCAGATGTAGAGCTATTTTGTTGTCTTAAAAACAATATGGGGAATAACATCACTTGCGTACTATATGAAACAGATGGAAAATACTGAAGAAGCAAACTCAATTGGTCTCTCATCTCTGAATTCAGAGACTGTGAAACGCCCACAGAAACACAGTGGAGAATTCGAAAGTTCAGGCATACCAGAGAGCGGCAAAGAGTAACGCTGAGCTTAATGTATTGCCTAGTGCAGCCCGTGGGTACTGACCTTTGCTGCTCTTAATAAATTGTGTGTATGTGTGTTTTGATGTGTGTAACGCTGTGCCAAAGAGCTGGCTGGAGAGTATGTCCACTCTTAAACTTGTGGAACTTGCTTTGTGTTTTTCTCTCTTCGATAAAAACGTGCTTAAAGTTAAATTAGCTAGCCGTACCTCTCGCACGTTCTAAATAAAATCTCAGCATCAAGATCTAGCTTGATGTTTAGCACGTAGTCTGAATAGACTTCAAGGTCTATGTTACATCGCTACCTTTTCAGTACTTTTTATTGTTCTGTTGGTCATACTAATGCAGCAGAGGTGCCTAAGAGGGCATGTATGTATTCAGTGCTGTTTATTGCTTTAAGAGATGAAGTCATGTAATGCTTCAGGTGACCAGTCATACTTGAGCACCTCGGTAATGGTGTCTGTACAATGCTTAAACCCTGCCTTTGCTGAAACAAAGGTAGTTTCACAAGTTAGGCCAGGCCACAGAAACACAGCTATGTGTTTTTAGAGCAGGAGGGGAGAAAAGCATGGAGAGAGGTACTTCTCTTACTGTTTCACCTTCGTGCTCCCATCTTCTCCATTAGTCCTTTCTTCCACGTCAAAGTGTCTGTCACGCAGTACTGACCCAGGTCTTGCTCTCACCTGCTGGTTCAGGCTGTTTACCAATCTCTTCCACACCGGAACTCTGGAGGTGTGTGAAGATGCACAGACTTCGTACAGACTGCCTCCCGCCATCACGAGAGATCCCTGCATTTTATTCACTCTGCTAGTACTCCTCCTCCAGGCTATAAGCTCTGTGAGTAAGAACTCTGCCTTGCTGAACTGTACTCATGATAAATGTTGTAGGAGGGAGATACTTTAAATAATGCTGGAGTAGAACTAAACAGAACTTCGTCTGGCTAATGTTGAGCATGAAGTGAAAAGAAACTGGTTTTGAGGGCGAGCCTACTTCAGAGTCTGCCTAAATTAAATTTAAGCTCCTTCCATGTAGCAATCCTGATCCAAAAAGAGAAAACAATTTGAAGGTAGCTGTAAATGGGAAAGGGAGGAGGAAGCACACCAGCCTGCTAGCAAGTTCAGTGGTCTGCAGGTTTGTCCACAGGTGTTCCTTAGCTGTACTGCAATGTGGCAGGTGCTGGTGCATCTTAAGGGAGGCATTGAGAAGTGAAATGAGAAATGTTGTGAAAAGCAGTGCTTCAAACCAGGCAGTGCTTTAGATCGTAAAAAAATAACCTTTAGAATTTTATCAAATTACTTTCCCCCATCATTAACTATCCATCTGATCTTGTTCTCCGTAAAGCTTGACACAATTCACTGCCCTAGATGACTGGTCCCCTTAGAACAAAAATTAAACCTGCAGTTAGGTACGTATTTAAACAACTGTAAAAACAAGTGGATGCATTAAAAATTAGCAGAGGCCAGATCGCTGCTTTTTATTACTTCAGACGGGGGGGGAACTGAAACTATGTAGGACTAGCTTAAAGTAGTTCTACCAGAAAAGAAGCAAACTTCTTGCAAATACTACAAAGCTTGAGGACGTGCAGAGTTGATTCACTGAAACGCGTATGTAGGTGCACCTCAAAGCCACGTACAGGTTGAATAGGCTAGCATTAGGCTGCAGCTTTGTAGCAAGAGACTAGTTTAGAACGCCGTGAAGGCTTTAATCATATTTGCTCTCTTTATGAAACAAGAACTGCATTTTTTTCAGCTGTTGCCTTTGTTCCCACAGAAGTCCCTCTCTCTCTCTAATTCTACCACTAGTGACCATTTCCAGGCACATGACAACGCTTTGCCTGCAGAGCTTCCCTCTTGAGTTATGCAAGGAGAGAATTTAGACTTGAGAATAGCATTTGCCAGCTGTTTTCCATTGGGGTTGAATACTGACTGCAGCAACTAGTTGTGTAAGTGAACTAATAGTATGTCTTTAACAGAGTCACCAGAGGACTGTTCAACACTTGACTCATCTTGTCTTTAAGTACGGTGTTACTCATAGTAAATTCATTTTAAATAAGGTACTACATCATCTTAGACCATGTAAAATACAAAAAATGCAGATAATATCTAGAAACAATATAAAAATAATATATTAAAAATGCAGAGTAGCAGGAAGTCACATAGACCGTATTTTAAAAGATGTCCCTAAATCGATAAAATCAAGGACAGTTCTTCCAGGTTCTGTGAGGCAACTGTGCCTTACAGCCACTGCAATTTAGTCACCTATTTCCTATGCAAATTTACCTTTTTTATTTTTTCCTCCTTTGGTAAGAAACCATGCATAAGATTTTCAACTCAAGTTGCAGAACAGAACAAACACTGTGCTCCTTCACTAGCTATAGATCATGTACGCTTGAGGAACATCGGCTTGTCCTAAAGCTTAACGCAGCCTGATAAGAGGAGGCTGAAGTGAGAATGACCCAGAGAATTGAGCAGTCCGTTCACACTGGAGTTACTAGGACACCACTTGTATTTTTGCCCGAGTTACATGATTCTCCAAATTGCATTATAAAGTAGTATCACTGTTTTTCTTTTAATGTATACTCCCTTGAACAGGCTTGGAATGGCATGTCCCAGACTACATGAAAGCAATATAAAGAGACCTATCACCAGCAGGATCCCCTGAGTCGCTTCTCCCCTCTTATCTAAGCCATTCAGGCGTTTACATCAACTATTTTTTTTCCAATGGTAAATGTAAATGTGTTACCCTCATAAAAAAACTAGTAGCTTGCCTCTTTCCGTTGGAGCCATTATTATTCTGGGTCCCATAAATCCTTACATGGTACAAAATGCCAAAGCATTAAGAAGAGTTTTATATAAGGCAGGTTTATCTAAAGTCCCTTTCCCAGTCAAAACCTTTAATAATTGTACAAGACAAAAGCTTCGTAAATCCACTTGAGACCTAGCCACAAAAATATATAGGTGTCATCTTTGTTGAAAGCTGTAATTGTATTTACTGGAATAAGAAACAGAATTAAGGAAAAATCAGTGACAGTCTGGACGATGGAGTAAATTTGCTCTTGGTATTGAAGACTGAAAATAGGCCTCCCATCTTCTGAGCTTACGGAAATGATTCCTCATGACCTCCTTGATGCCTGTTGTTCTTCACTTTCCGTAGAGCAGAATGTGTCCCATGATGGGAGCAATGCTGATTTACAAAAATCACAGCGGGAGATTCAAGGTCTACATAATCCTCAGTTTGACTTCAGTGCCCGATTTCCAGCTTCCACTGACCGGTAAGCAGAGTCAACTAATGCACGTCTCCAAGCTTTTCACAGCTTAACTATTTCAAGTTGCCTTCAACAAACTACTCGCTAGAAGCGTGCGTGTGGTGGGAGGGTGTCACAACTGTATCTACTTCGACCAGAAAGCACGCTCAAACTCAGTTGGATTCAGTCTTTTTTAATAAATTAATGTCATTCAAAATACAGTGCCAGAACATGATGCAGCTGAACATGCTAGTAAGGTTTGTCATGAAGCACCTGTGTTCATGTTAGATTGGCGGCGCCCCGCTACTGCTAGTGGTTCCTGGGATTAATGCCAGAGCAGCACTAGTCATCTGCTCTCCTGCACACACAGCACAGGATATTCCTGAACGGTTTGCTTCCCCCCCCTCCCCCGAAGTAAAAAACCTGATAGCTAAGGGATATCTATACACAATCACACTACAGTAATGCTTGTTATTAAATTAACAGAAAATAAAGACCTGGTTAATCCACACTATAAAGTAGCATCACTGTTTTTCTTTTAATGTATACTCCCTTGAACAGGCTTGGAATGGCATGTCCCAGACTACATGAAAGCAATATAAAGAGACCTATCACCAGCAGGATCCCCTGAGTCGCTTCTCCCCTCTTATCTAAGCCATTCAGGCGTTTACATCAACTATTTTTTTTCCAATGGTAAATGTAAATGTGTTACCCTCATAAAAAAACTAGTAGCTTGCCTCTTTCCGTTGGAGCCATTATTATTCTGGGTCCCATAAATCCTTACATGGTACAAAATGCCAAAGCATTAAGAAGAGTTTTATATAAGGCAGGTTTATCTAAAGTCCCTTTCCCAGTCAAAACCTTTAATAATTGTACAAGACAAAAGCTTCGTAAATCCACTTGAGACCTAGCCACAAAAATATATAGGTGTCATCTTTGTTGAAAGCTGTAATTGTATTTACTGGAATAAGAAACAGAATTAAGGAAAAATCAGTGACAGTCTGGACGATGGAGTAAATTTGCTCTTGGTATTGAAGACTGAAAATAGGCCTCCCATCTTCTGAGCTTACGGAAATGATTCCTCATGACCTCCTTGATGCCTGTTGTTCTTCACTTTCCGTAGAGCAGAATGTGTCCCATGATGGGAGCAATGCTGATTTACAAAAATCACAGCGGGAGATTCAAGGTCTACATAATCCTCAGTTTGACTTCAGTGCCCGATTTCCAGCTTCCACTGACCGGTAAGCAGAGTCAACTAATGCACGTCTCCAAGCTTTTCACAGCTTAACTATTTCAAGTTGCCTTCAACAAACTACTCGCTAGAAGCGTGCGTGTGGTGGGAGGGTGTCACAACTGTATCTACTTCGACCAGAAAGCACGCTCAAACTCAGTTGGATTCAGTCTTTTTTAATAAATTAATGTCATTCAAAATACAGTGCCAGAACATGATGCAGCTGAACATGCTAGTAAGGTTTGTCATGAAGCACCTGTGTTCATGTTAGATTGGCGGCGCCCCGCTACTGCTAGTGGTTCCTGGGATTAATGCCAGAGCAGCACTAGTCATCTGCTCTCCTGCACACACAGCACAGGATATTCCTGAACGGTTTGCTTCCCCCCCCTCCCCCGAAGTAAAAAACCTGATAGCTAAGGGATATCTATACACAATCACACTACAGTAATGCTTGTTATTAAATTAACAGAAAATAAAGACCTGGTTAATCCACACTAAAACTTTGTTTTACAATGGAAAAATACATCAGCAGCAGGAAGTAATATACATGAGCCAATGTTACTGTAATACAGAATGTGGAGACATTTACCGATTAAAGCTCCACATAGACCCGCACTATGAGGGCTGACAATTCCTATTGCAAGCCCAGCAACTTAAGTCCACACCTGGTAAACTACCAGCTGCTTGGAAGACCTGTATTCTAAATAGACAGGTATAAGTTAGTGAAAATAGAATACATGCACCTAATAATACAGCTTGACTGAACCTGCAGTCATTTCGCCCTGCATGTTGCCATACAATGGAAGATCTACCCTTCCTACCGCAGGTAGATCCATGGGATTTGTTTCTTTTCCTTTTAATGGCATTACTATACCAACATGGATATTAGTATTTATTAAGGAAGTGCAGCACAGTCCTTTAATTAGGCCACACTGACAATTCTAGAACTAGCACTTAAGTAGAATATCCAGAAGTAGTTCAAATATAACTGGAAGATACTTTCAAAGAGAGTTGTGACATCATCCTAGAAACAGTAACTACTTTTTTTCTGAAGCTAATTTTCCTGAACCAAGACTTCATATAGCTAATCCTTTAGACAAGTCAGATGCTTAAGCTCAAGATATACATATACGTTTCTCAATTATCAGATAATAGTATTTCAGGTTATGGAAGCGTATCTGCTCATTTCACTGATTCATACTGAATGGCGGCAAGTGTTAGGTAGGGCATAGGAATACAACTCACGAAAGACAGGTTTGACATTTCTGTTTCCAGACCTGTTCTTTCACAGCCATCTATTTCCAGATAACCGAGCACAGAACCAGTTGTGCGGTCTAATTTGGGAGCTACACAGGTGGTAAAGTAACCATCTCCCCATCCAGCTCAAATTCATCAGCTCCATCTGGTGAGAAGAGATACGTTGGAGGTTTCCATGGGGACTCTTCAAGGCAAGATGGATACAGCTTTCCTACAGTGCACCGGAAGTCTTTCCCCAAGTCCCACAGCACACGTTCCGATATGTGCTGTCTTAGAAACCAGCGATCGAGTTCCAGGTCATATTGATAGGTGGCATACTTCGCTCTCTCGTTCATGTGGGTTTCTCGTATAAAGACGCATAAAGAATTAGAGATGACGACGGCTCTAACGCATGGGTCAGAATACCGCTTGGCAGGGATATTGGCTGCCATTCTCCATTCGTTTTTATTCACATCATAGATTTCCACAGTTACGGAAGACCCATCTACGGTACTGCTTGGGAGTCTTATACCAGAATTGCTGGCAATGTGCAGTCCTCCGATATAGAATATTTTATCGCCAAAAGCAGCGGCTGAAGCAAAACATCTACTTGTTTGCCGCATAGCCATTTCTACCCAAGCATCCGACCTGGGAAAATAACAGTACATCAGGTTGTGTGCCATTACATAAATGCAGTTGTGAACTGCTACTGCTGTGCTCCATTGCCAGGCGCAAGGCAACGGGCTTACCATGGTCCACTCGTCTTTCTCGGTATCGTATCTCTCCACAGTTCTCCTGTTGAGTTCTCCACCAACGCTATCTCCTCCGATTGCATAGATGTATCCTTCACAGCAGACCAGGGATGGCTTTATACGAACAAAGAGCATCGGTGTCTTTGGAAACCAAGTGTTTTGCTGTGCATCAAACCAGTAAAAGCAATTCACAGTTCTGAAGGCAGCCTGGAGTTTACTGCTTTTACTGTGATTGGTTTTCGTGTTTTTCAGAGGAACTTGCCCACCTGCTATATAGATGTCATTATCGGGAGTTACAAGCGTCCCAACCTTATGCAAGTCAGCAGGAGGGTTGCAGAGTTTGTAAACTTTTTCTGCCTGGGGGCTATAGCAGACAGAAGAATAAAGACTACCAGGGTTTTCAGCAGCAGCTTCAATGAATATCATCATCTCCTCTTTTGTCATACCAAGTCTGGGCTTGAAAAACTTGGGCATCGATTTGTACAGTCCTTGCACCACCACCGATTTATCGTTAGGTGGTAAGCCTTGAAACCAGGCTCTCTGTGTTACTTCTGAAAGTGCATCGATTCGGATTTGGCTAAGAACAGAGGACAAATACTGCGATCGCGATTCTGTGTTGTACTCCAGCCATAACATAGCAGCTTCACGAACTGTCTCCTCCTTTTCCACATTTAAATTGTCACTGCTTAAAATATCTATCAGTAGATCATGCGACAGTTGCATGAAAGCCTCCTGGTGGTACACTGCTGTGAACTTGTGCTCTACCATTCTTTTCGCGCTCTGTTTTAACTCTTCACAGCTGAAGAGATCAGCAAAACTTAAGAGACGCACACAATTTTCCGCGTTAATTTTTTTGATTAAGTATTCTCTACACCGTTGTAACACATCATCTACCTGTAACGCAAAGAAGACACAGTAAGTATTAGTGCTTACCATCTATTCCTTCACTTACCGGCAGCAGGTAAAGGTACCTGCATTTAGTGTTGAACACCAGAGTTTAGGCCTGGCATACCAGATATACACAAAAATACAGCAGTGACTTACTCAACTGATTGATACAGATCAAGTACATCACACGATTATGTTTGCTTGAGAAACCCATCATCTAAACATTAGAAGTGCGCTGTTTTACTTCCACCCTCCGTAGGATCCATAAAGCAAGGAGGGATGGGTACACGGAACATCATAGCTGGCAAGCAACTGCTGTCTATACTGAGCAAACTGAACAAGAATATTTTGAAATGACTAAACAGAAGAAACTATTTAACAAGATAAAGACAAAATGGTTCAGAGATTAGAAGCAGTTATTTCATACTCAAAATAAAACATTCCTACCTGTAAGAAGCAGGCAGTTTCATAAAGCTGTTCTACCGTGCTGTCGCTTATTGCCAGGTTACCCGTGTATGCATAAGTTATGATAATTTGTAAAGTGGCTGCATCCACATTCCTCAGGTGTACGTGTGTTTGTTTACTTTCACTTAGCCCGCTCATGAACATGGCTCTGAAGAGAAATACACATATTAAGACAAGGACCAACAGTAATCTTAGTCACTTATCACCTGTAACTTGTCAGTGATTACACTCCAAAAGGTGAACAGTCTTTTTGGTTGCCTCTTTGCAGGTGTTTAGTATTTACCTTAGGCTACCATCTAGTATTTAAGATAAAGCACGTGTACAAAACATTCAAAAAGTACCATCGCTGCCTTCTGTAGAAATACTTCATATTTATGCAAACTGTTTTATCTTAATCAGCAGAGAACTCTAATGATTTGAGAGTTTTAATGATGAAATTTAAAACCTTTTCTCTGTCAGGTGATAATATGAGGGAAGAAACATCCTCCAGAAAATACTGTTGAAACATATACAGATAGATTTTAGGTTCTAAAACAAGAACAGCAGATTTATGCAATGGATTGAGCTTAGTCATATCAAAAAGCACGCTCCTCTGGGAGGAGGAGAAGGTTAGCTCAGAAGAAGGAACAAGCACTAGCACTCCATGAAGCATTTCTTCTATACCATTCATAATAATATACAGTAAACTTCAAGTTTGTAGACAAAAAAAAAATCAATGACAAAAAACTATCAATCAGACTTTGTCTGGGGAAAAATACAAACCCCACGTATTTCCATTACACCTTCCTGAAAAAGTAGAAAGGCGATTTAATGGGGAACACTGATTTTAAGAGCTTTATATTAATTCAGGTTTGGTATTTATGGTTTTACTGAAAATTCAGCACAAGGCTCTCTATATTTATTTGGGGCTTTTTAGGAAACCAGATATGAGACAAGTTAGAAGGGACAGTGGGTGCACCCTACAGCCCTGCCTCCAGCTGGGGAGGTGAAAGAGACATGGAGATACACTCCCGAAGCAAAGCCATTCCAAGAAGCACCTGATACAGAGACAGTCCCCCACCACTGTTCCCTCCTGCCCCATCCCCATCTCTCTGTCTTCCTCTAAGCTCCTGAAGTCAGGGCAACTTGCATTTTAGGAGGGATCACTGACTGGCCAAGTGAGTATCAACTTGCCATGCAGCTTTGTAGAGGTAAGCAAGACAGTACGAGCACCAGCAGAGACTCCTCTTCGTAGAAAGGAAGAGGAGGTAGCTGCTGGAGAACCTGGCTCTAGTGCATGCTTACACACTGCTGAGCGGCCTGTGCTGGAGCTGGGCTGCTGCAGCGCAGCGTTCAAGCACAAAGACGGAAGGTGAGCTGGCTGCAGTCGTACACAATGGCAGGATCACACTAAGAGATGCTTTTCTGTTCTTCCCCCTCTCCCCACAGCCTCCTTCAGGGCTATCAATTTTTCATAATAAAGCTAAATTTAGGAAGCTGAGCATCTTTTTGTAAACCAAAGTAGAGAAGAAAAACAGAATGTGACAAAACCACAAGCGTGATACTTCTTTTAACCAGTGCCAAAACCTCATTCCATGAATAATAAACAAACACATATGAATAAGAGATCTGACTGCATATTCTATGCACTAGAATGTGCAGCACACTGCGTGGACTCGTGACAGCTTTCCAACCTTATGATTAGCCACCCACATTCAATCTGGCCACATTTCCAGGGGCTGTTATTTTATAGACTGTTGGAACTATGTCATCTGCAGAATGCCAACGGCAATAATCATTATCTAGTGATGACACAATACTTGTTGCTGAAAATTGTACCAGACTCATCTGAGATGAAAAAATTAACACAAAAACCAGCAGCAACAAAAACTTATGTGAAATAATAAATTAATCCTTGAAAGTTCCCTGCATTAGAAGTTACTCTCTACATGATATTCTATATGAGAAAGCAGACAAAACAAAAAATACTTTAGAAGCATTCTGTATAGTGAGCCCATCTCAACGAGCAGACAGAATTTGCAAGCCTTCCCTTGATTAAACGGGAAAGAAAAAGCCTACAATGCATCAGGAAGGTAAAACATGCACGGATGTCACCAAGGCTAGTTTCAAGCTTCAGAATTCCTTCCAGACAGGCAGATTAATTATACTGTGTTGCCAACAAAAAATGATCAATCACTGCAGAAAACTGATGGTGCCTCATCTTCTAGGACTTACTATCCACAAAAAGTAGTAGCACTCGACGTATCTTATTAATAAAAACTTTTCAAAGGACAAAAAACAGGACACCTGGGAAGCAGGAGCTACTGAATTAAAAATTGGAACAGCATCTCAGTGCCGAAAAAAAAACTGTTGCATTGCAGCAAGACTCTCAGGCAAGAGAAGAGTTTCTGGCTTCTTTGCTGAGCAGAGAAAAACAAATTATTCAGAAAACAAAGCCCAATCCCTACTTTTAGCAGAGGCTTCTGCTAAGGAACTACAGCTAATAAACATGACAATGGAACTCCCGTAGCCAAGTCTCAATAACCCCTTGTTACCCTACCTTGGGAAATAAAAGAAGATTAAATATTTAAAGATTAAGTATGAAGAATAAGAAATTTACTAATTATTCAGACTCGCTCAACTCCCTAAAGAAAACGAACCGTCGCAAGTGTGATTTCCCCACCACCACCACTTACTGTAAAAACTACAGTACCTATCCAGAGTAAGTCACAATATGCTGGAAAATTTATTTTACTCTTTTGGTGTTGGCGAGTAATGATATTTAGGTTTTTTTACTTACTTCGCTGATCTTTAAAACTCTCTGCAACACATTAATTGTTAATCAATTAAGTAATATTACACTCAAAAACAGGTATCAGATTTTCTAGAATTAACAGATCCTGCTTTGAATACTTACCTGAAATACGAGCTGCATGTTGCAAGAACCATCTTATGGCAGGGAAATTCAGTGCCCTCAACAATCAACACTATGTCAGTTAGCAACTGCTGTTCATAAAAGAATTTTAACTGCTCCAGCAAGGATACAGCGTACTCGGTATTTATCTGCCTCTCGTCCTGGGTAGACATGACTGTATTCCATTAATATCTCCAGGACCAGAGAGAAAAGTCAAGATCTTTTTGCCAGAGAAAGGTCAGTTGAACGTTTCTGAAGTAGCCAGGGAAGAAACGGCAGGAGGTCTGTAGCCTTGAGAGGCGATACTGATAAAAAAAGGCAGCGTTATCTTGGACTGCTGAATCAATGTTTCAGACTTTGACCTACTATTAGGTCATCATGCTTTGACTTGATGTCACAATCTGTTCAGAGACTTTCAAGAGTGTCTGCAGAGCTCCTGTTGAGATCTATGATGCAGCAAATGAATGAGCAAAAGCGAAGTCTGAGGTAGATTTCGTGGTAACATCTCGTGATCAGTGGCTGCACTTGAGTGACTGAAAGCAGGAAAATAAAATTAACTTACACATTAGCACTTTTTCAAAAACCTTTCACAGTTACCCCTTAAAAGTAATTGTCTAACAAACTTATTTCTAAATTAGTACTTAGTTACTTGCACAAAAACTCTTGTTGAGAAAAAAATTAAACAAAAGTATTGAAAAGAAATAAAAAGCAGGAGAGTTTGTACATTAATTCGCATCAAGACCTAGACCCATGAATTAAGATAATTTACTTCGTCAACACAGCTTCTAAGGCTGGACAGTTAAAATGAGGTTCAGTAAGACCTTACTCCTCTTCCAAGGATTACCCAGTTTTCCCTCTGAGAACACCTGTGCATTTCCTTCAACCATTGATAAGATAGCCACATTTTTTTCACTTCCATATTAAACAGCTGCTTTTTCTACTTCTGTGTTTTTGTCTACTTAAAACTTATCAATACCAGGCCACTAAACATGTAAACGCAGCTTCTTCAACATCCCATCATTTTCCAGCTAAACTCTCAACATCATCATCAACCCATTTATTTCACCTTTGGCATTCTACTAGCAAACAAGCAGAACCGGAGCCAAGGATTAAAAAACCCTAACATCCTATATTCGCAACGCTTATTTGATTCATCTTCTCTGTGCAGAATGGCTTCACCTATTAACATTTCATATTCCACTTTTTTTCCTTCTCAGTCATTTCCATACAGCCAGGTAAGCATGACTGCTGCAGACAAGAGGAAAGAAAAATAAGGAGATACTAGGAGCAAAGGGATGCTGGAATAGCAGGGGTCAAAACACTTGAAGCCATTATAAAGCAATGACCACAGGCTACCAAAGTCTGTTTTCTTGTTTGGACACTTCTCCTCCTCTTAAAAATGGGGTCAGGTTTTATCTTATCTTCCATGTGAACACAGAAATATGAGTAACAATGGGATAGTTGTGACAGTAAAATCACCATCATAAAGGACACTGGAGTACCACATCTATCAAATACGTCCAGATTTATTTAATCTTGCGCTGTTTTGTCACATTCCAAAATCGAGGAATAACCAGGGACACGTTTGTCTAATGTCCAAGACATCACTATCGCTATAGTTCACGATGAACGGTGAAAGCAGAAGTACCTTACTTGAAACGACATAAATTCCATCAAAAACCACACAATTTAGTGTAAGATGAGGGCTGTAGAAATACCTGCCAGCCATATCAAAGATCTCCTATTTCAGCAGAGCCCCGCCTGTAATACAATTCAAAGACAGCTGTCTTTTAACATTCAGTCGAAACAGAAACAGATATGCTTAATTAATGCCACTTTAATTACTACTAATTTAGTGTCACTGATCTCTTTCAGTGAAGAAATACACACAAACAGGAATCTCAAACTCTTAGTTTTCACTGGTCATTTAACCGGAAAACAGTCAAAATAGTCAAACCCAATGTTCGCTGTTTGTTCAGGTGAAGCCAGTAAATTAAGAAAAATAGAAAAGGTGTTACTATTTGGGGGAGGGAGAAGGAGAGACTACTATCTGCTATAACAACAGATATTAGCATAAGTCTTGCCTTCAGGCCTTCGAGTTTCAGGTGCAGTTAACCGCTGAAGTCACTAAACCACGAGTGTATCAAGGACATACAAAGACATTGCTCATCTAAAGCAATGACCTTCTGCTTCAAGTCACAGCTTCTTTTCACCAAATTAGTATGCATCCTATCTCTGTATCACTGACCACTATCCTGGTTATCCGATAACCGCTTAACATGCAACCTAATCCACTGACAGATTTTGCACTGAACTTTAAATGGCTACAGAGACACGCAGACTTCCTAAGCGTGTTAGGCCCACAGAAATAAATAGCTCATGGCTCTGCTGGTATCCCAGGTCTCTCTACAGCATTGTTTTTCCTGGCTTAGGAGTAAAGTTTCAAGAACAATACAAGCTGGTGGATTAAGCTCTGTTCGGGCAGAGCATCAGTAGTACTAAGCTTTAGCAAAAGAAGCCATTGATATCCTAGCTTCCTGTTCTGATGTAATCGTAAAGAATATAAATCTTCAGAAACAGGAAAAAAAAAGTAAAACTAGTATGCACAGTTTTAGTCATTAGGTAACAGAACCAGTCAAGGATGCCACAGAGAAATTGATACACACCTGCTAGTAAGATTAAAGACATTTTTGGCAGCACGCGGCCGACAGTCGATAACTGAAAAAGCAGACCTGTTCAACAGAAGAGCTGAAACTGTGAAATTAATTACTATAAATAGCTGGAACATTTGAGTATGACGCTCAGTAGCAGAAAAGATTGAGGAGATGACAGGGGTCTTGTTGCAGAACATTTATGTGATGTGAACCACCTTTGAACTGTAAGTTTACAAAGCTGGAGTCCTTGGTTTACAGCTGATCTGAAACCATCTCATTTCCATGATGTGCTCCAGGGAGGTGCACATGGTAGGAACATGCTACGTACACGATTCCTGTTTTCCACATCCATACTGTGTTTTGCTGCCAATGATAGCCATTTGCTAAAGAACAAAACTTTGTATTTGTCACAAAGTCAGCAGTCGCGTCCCATTCCCTTGTAACGGAACCATACTAAATACTCCTCAGGAGAACAATAAATATAAATACATCAAAGATCTCTGAGTTTCTGGTCTAAAATTACCATCATTTATATTGTCATTTGCCCAAGAGAAGCGAATCTCTTCAAAACATTAGGCTAAGTGGTGTAGGAACATCATTTCGTGCCTGGAAAGTCATCCCAGACTACCTACCTCTCTCCCGCCTCTCTGAAGAGTCCAAGACAATTTTAAAGGAGATGCTCTCCTCACTTTAGAGGCTGAAAAACTGAGGCACTGAAATAAGAATCAGCTTGTCCAAAGCCACACACTTGCCAAAGGAGAACTGTTAGAGGCTCAGTTGTCCCCAGTCCCAACCTAACATCTCCCACTGCGCTGTGCTTGGTTGGCATACAGCTCTTAGATCTCAGCTAACTGAAAAACTATGAACTCGAAAAGATGTCCACGGATGCACTACAGCCTCCTGTAGTTCTCATACCTACACAGCAGTGGACACTTCTGATTTATGGATGAAAAGATCTATGGCTGAAGTTAGCTTAATATCCTGAACTGAAATTGACAGAATAAAAATAATCCTTGAATACAAGTTCTATGAATAAGACTTTCCCCTTCAATGGTGTCACTGGAATGACCGTTTTGTTCTGGGTAACTTCTTGGAAGTCAGCTATCTAAAACAGGACTGGCAGGTAGCTGCTGGAAGGCCAGAGCGGTACTGGATTACAAACTAAACCTAATTATTACGGGGTGATCCAAAGTAACTCCCTATCAAGCTGGAGAGCAACATTAAGTAACAGGTTGATAAGAGGGTTTATTTTTCAGTAATTATTCCTTTTAGCTTAAGTAATTTTAATGAGGTGGCTTTTAACACTTCTTCATGTACTTCCAATCTGAATGAGACCATTCCAAAAATTAGTCATCAAATGTTAATGAGTTACGGGACAGGCTATTAATTGCCTTCCTTGAATCTGTTTATCTTCTGAGGTCAGGCAAAGATTGATGAACAGAGATACATACTGCACCACACATATGGAAGTGTTAACTCTATACTTCAACGTGTAACACGGAATAAGGATATTGAGTATTTCCAATTTAATTAGTAGGGA